TATATATATGAAAATATATTATATTAATATATTTTAAACACAATTTATTTAGCTTGTCGATTATTCACAATATAAAGCAAAATTATCAGAGAAGATTTTTAAAAAAATTCCTTGGGTCCCAATAAAATTCCATGAAAGCTCCTTGATTTCTCCATACACAAAAAAAAATCCCTGAGAGTTCCAGGTTTTCCATGTTTTTCCAAGGAGTGAACACTCTCTAAATATGTCATCGCGGATAACTCGCTGCGCGCGGAGAGGATTTAAAATGCGCAAGTTTCGAAGCCGCGGCGCGAAGGATCGCGGGTCGGGGCCCTTAAGAGTCATTCCTGCCGCCGCATAAGGGCTAATAATGCCGCACGAGCACGATACGCCCAAAAGGCGTATCAAAACTTCGCGGCACGCCGGTCTCGTTGGCTTCTTTCGCGCATTCCGAGGGATTCCCTGCCTAATTTAAACGTTCGCCGAGTACCGAGGGATCACCCCGGTGGGATGCTGAGGAGGCAAAGGACGACTCTCGACGACTCGGCGTCACATCCTTGCGAGAAAGGGGATGAGAGGGGGAAAGGAGGGGGAGGAGGTCTCTCCTCGTTACGGCGACATTCTACGGCGACGGGACGCGTGCCCAGCCTTCGTAATCGCGACTCGAGAGGAGAGTGAAAGATGAAAAACGAGGAGCGTTACTCTCAAGGGACTTTCGAATATCCCGGCCGGCGACAGAAACGCGATTTTTGCGCGACGCCGCGTTAGGGTAAACGCGCTTTCTAAAACGTAAGCACGGCCGTCGTGCTTCTTTGATTTCTTTTTTTTTTTTTTTACACGTAAACGCGGCGAATCAAATACATTACTTTGACGATTCGCAACTCATACAAGCAAGTCAGAAGCTTCAATTACCAAGAAGTTCTGCTCTCTCTCTATATAATCAAATTAAAAAAAATATAAAGTATAAACCACCAAGGGATCATCAAAAAGTAGGATATTCATCCCTAAATCATTATCTCACAATTTGTGATATTTCGACACATTTTTTATCACACACACAGACAAATTTAAATTATTAATTGTTTTCATAAATACATCATCTGATTTTCTGGCGTTTAGTGAGACGCGAGGAGGGACGAAAGGGGGGCAAGAAATCCCGCGACGGAGGGAAGAAGAATTTCACCTTAACCCAATAAATGATTAGTGTGCCGGGAGAGCGGCATAAATGCTCAATCAGTATGCAGGCACGGCGGACAATCCGCTGTAAATCACGCGCCGTGAATCATTCGCCGACATAAATCTAGCCGCGATCTCCGATCAATACGCTCCTAACCGGTCCGACACATTAGTTAAACGCGTTACTAGAGTCGCCGTCGTTTACGGGACGCACACGTCTCGCGGGGTCCATCCCGCATCATGTGCGCGGGCCCCCTCCTCTCCCACAAAAAGCGTCTCGGCGATGCCGATGGCCTAATAGCGCCGATTCGAGAATCCACGGCGTAAAGCGATACATCATCGACGAGAGGATCCGCGTCTCTCCGATCGTTCATCGGATAGATTTATCGGATGTCGTCGCGATCCAGCTCGGGGTTAACGACACGAGACTCGTTGATATTAGTCAAACGATATATTGAGATTTAGAATTAATTGGGCGCTGATAACGAGAGTACGGCGACTAGCGCAGTTTAGTGCTCGAATTGTTCTTATCTATGTAATCGACGTTATTGCAGTAGGAGTTAAGTAATTTTATGATTTACTATTTGTAATAAAATCCGCAATATAATAGTTATTTTATATATTATACAAAATATTTATTTGGAATATAATAGTAAAAATAAAATGCATTTTAATTTTCTCGAGAGAATCTATAATATTTTTATAAATGCAAGATTGATTTTATGACAAATTATTATTTCAAATTACAAATCCTCACAAACTGAATTGCTTCTAATTATAAGTACTTGGCTAGTTAACTATTGATTTTATATTTAGTTCTGATTTTTTAAGGGTTTTTTATTTTTTAGGGGCAAAATTTTTTTAATTGTTTTTTAGAAATAAATATTTTTTTAAACTTTTTGTTACGTGCAAGGAATATTTTTTATGTACTAGGCGTCCTTTTTCTAATTTTGTGAGATTTTTTTTTATTGTTCTTATCTATAAACTGAACACGTAATTTCGCAAGATTATCGAATATTTTTCGTGTGTTTTTCTTCGTTTCTGACATTGCACTTGAAATAGATATCGAAGACTCTCAATTCACAGGAGAGGAGAGGGGAATCAAAATCAGCGGTGGAAGAACAAGAATCGAACGCACGTAAGAGGGAACTTCTTACTCGCCGAACATATTTAGCGAAAGATTCTGAATGCGAGATGCGTTCCTCGGAAGCGACATCGGCGGCGGCGGCCGTCGAAATTCGGGCAAATAAATCTCGCGCCTCCCTTCACCCCTTTTTCTCCTCCCCGTTGTGTTTTCTCGGTGATCCCACATCGCGCGATACAGTCGCGGACGCGCATGTACACATACGCACATGCACGTTACATACATACGTATACCTCGCGATGCGTTCGAGAAACAGAGAGAGAGAGAGAGAGAGAGAGAGCGAGCACGTGCGTGTCGTTTCTCGTCGCGTCTGCCTCGTTCGAGTCCTCTGAGTCACTCGCTCCCTCTCGTCACAGGCTACCCGCCGCGCACTGGTAGCCGCGAAAAACTGCGCGTTGCACTTCGGGAATGTCGTCGGCATGTACAGGGTGTTCCCCTTCGTCGCGATCGTCGATCCACTCGACAAGAACGATGCTGCACGACTTCGCTCTTCGGATCATCCCTCTCTCTCTCTCTCTCTCTTTTTCTTTTTCTTTTCTCTCGTGCGCGTCTACCTTTTTTTCTTGCTTACCTCTTCGTGGAATCACCGAAGATCTTGCTCCTCTCTGCGATGATCGCGCGATTATTGCGACTCGCGGAGACTCTCCGCGATTTGGAGACATCATAGCTTTTATCAATTATTTTACCCAATTTATGGCGTAAGAAAATTTATTTCAATTAAATATAAATATGGAATTATTTAGATAGTCTATTTAGTTTCATTTTTTAATTAAAAATTTGCAATACTGCATTTTAATTTGCAAGATTGCATTTTAATAAATAATAGTAAAAGTTTAAGCGAAAATAAAGTCATTTTAAATTAAAATCGCCAAAACGAGATTTTTTGTGATAATTTGCATATTAATTTTTAAATAAAAATATTTTTTATTCTCCTTTTGTGTAATTTAGCTGGAGCAAATTAGTATACGTAAGCTATGATAAATGCACTTCCAAGTGGAATCACAGAGGGATTGAATTCTCTTCTGCCTTATTGTATACTCGAGCTAAACGTACGAGAGCATAGCCTCGCGGGCAGGCCGGAGAAAGGATTTGGGTGGAGAGCAGAGCATGAAGAAAACAGAGAGAGAGAGAGAGAGAGGAGATCCTCTCGAGTGCGGGAGGAGATTCTCTTACAATAGCCGTAAGCTTTGCCGCTCATTAGAGGCGAGGTCGCGGGTCACGTGGAACCGCTTTGTACGCTTCGTTCCTCTATATGCAAGTTACATACAAAACAATATCCATGCGCGGAGATCCCTTTTCCCTGGATTATACCAAGATCGCTTTACAACCGACTACACACACAATAGATATAAAATCTCTGATTTCAAAACTCAACAATGTTAATTCCTCTCTATCGAAATCATATCCGTTACACGCGTTTTATGTCTCTAATGATTCTTCTTTTATGACAAAAGAGTTCGAAATACCCATTCCTTTATTTTCGCCGCAAACAAGTCGATAAGCGTAAAATATCAATATAATAGACGTGGCAGCAGTTGACGTCGCGTAGAACCGGAAAAAATTAACAAACGAATCTCTCTCGAGGAACGTCAATCGCACGGCTCGGTGGGTCTCAAATACAATCTTTCCCGTCGGTTTATCGTCATTACTCTCTCTCTCTCTCTTTCTCTCTCGCGCGTGCTGGAGAAACCGGTTTTCCCTCGGTAGTACAAATATTACTGCAAAGACAATAATGATGCGTGAAACGAATTAATCGTGGAATGCGTTTCCGGATGTATCTCGCGACTGATGCCTGCGCGTTTCAGTTATTAAACATCCCGACGATCGTAAAGCTTTAATTGACGCGGCACGCGAGGAAGACCGAGTCTCGAGGGAGGTATCAACGTTCGGCATGCTCGAAGAATCGCTCTAACGAGTACACTCGTACTCTCGTATTCAAGCGACTAATCAACGACACGCTGATGGCGAGGAGATGGCGTCCACGGCCAGTTTCTCTCTCGACAGGATCCTCTCGAAGAAGTCCGGCGCGCATCTCGCGTCTACCACTATACGGGGTGTCCCTTTGTTCCCGGGCATCCCACACGACTCGCATTGAATCCGTACGATTATAAATTGCCCTGAGAAAGCGCGGCCGGTCTATGCGGGCGCATCCTGGCCCGGGATATGCACTCCCGGAGGCACGCGAGAGACAAC